GTTCATAATTTCGACCGAGTTGGTCATACTTTTGTCGTGTCGTGCATACGTCGTAACGTCGGAGGAGAAGACCAAACATTTAGAGTTGATTTACGACACAAATGGTGTGATTGTGGTCGTTTTCAGACATGGAAATATCCATGTGCTCATGCAGTCGCTGCATGTATGTATGCTGGTGTAAGCGCATACACTTATGTTGATGAATGCTTCCACCTACGTAGGATATTAAATGTCTACAGCTATGTGTTCAGACAGATCCCGAATGAATCATATTGGCCCAAAAAGGATCATGATGAATGGCTACCAAATCCAATGCTTCGCAGAAGTCCAAAGGGTCGACCTGAGTCCACTCGAATTCATACCAGTGGATTTTCATGCTATAGAGAGAGGTCAAGCAAAGAGATGCGGATTATGTAGGGGTGAAGGCCATTCAAAAACAATTGTCCTAATTTACCAAGATATAGGCCTCATCATTAGTAATCATATATGTATTTCTATGTATTTATTATCATTATAAAAATGATTTAATAATGATTTAAATATTTAATGATTTGATGATTTAGTAATGATTTGATAATAATCATTATAGTAATGATTTGATAATAATCATTATAATAATGATTTAATAATGATTTAAATATTTAATGAACAAATTAGTAATGATTTGATAATAATCATTATAGTAATGATTTGATAATAATCATTATAATAATGATTTATTAATAATCATTATAAAATGATTTAATAATGAATTAAATATTTAATGATTTGATGATTTAGTAATGATTTGATAATAATCATTATAGTAATGATTTGATAATAATCATTATAATAATGATTTAATAATGATTTAAATATTTAATGATTTGATGATTTAGTAATTATTTGATAATAATCATTATAGTAATGATTTGATAATAATCTTATAATAATGATTTAGTAATGATTTAAATATTTAATGATTTGATGATTTAGTAATTATTTGATAATAATCATTATAGTAATGATTTGATAATAATCATTATAATAATGATTTAGTAATAATCATTATAAAAATGATTTAATAATGATTTAAATATTTAATGATTTGATGATTTAGTAATGATTTGATAATAATCATTATAATAATGATTTTATAATAATTATTTAGTTATTATTTAGAATACTAACAAATGAGTGTACAAGTGTGGATTACTGAGTTTAAATTTATACATAGTCGAATTTATGTATGATTTTTAAATATTTAATGATTTGATATCAATGATTTACTAATTATTATTAATAAGGATTTATTGTTAATATTTAATTATTTGATACTAATGATTTAAAATAGTTGATTTACTAAATATCTAATTATTTGATACTAGTAATGATTTGATACTAAAAATCATTGTTAAGGTAAAAAAGTAGTCTAATTTCAATAAATAATTTGTAATAAATAGCAAACGAGTTTACAATTGTTGTCGATGTCGGGGTGTTGTTGAATGATAATGTCGGGGCGGACGTGATACGTTGTGGCCGTTGTGGCTCAGGTATTGTACCCATCCCCCTCATTCATTGGGGGTATTTGAACTGTCATGTGTCAAAGTCATACGTCGACGAAAACGTAGGAGAATAGATGGGTGCCTCAGGCTGCAAAACTCTGGTATGTATACCGGGCCAGTAGAATCATCAACTGCGTGATGCAACGATTGTGGTGCGCTATTATCCACATCGGTCATTTCCGCTTCAGTTTGTAGAGATGAACTCCCACTCCCACTCGGTAGAGAGTATTCAGCTTTACCAATCTTTTCTTAAACCTCAAAAATTGTCGCCTCTCTACTATTGTTGTGAGGAACGGCTTTCCATTATCCAAAAAATAAGCAAGGTAAGCCGAAGTCTCAAAATTAAAGTCGTCGTCTTGAATGGCGTCAAGAGTTGGCATGAATGAAGCCCTATTGTTCCAAGCATTAATGTAGGTTGCATGCTTCTCAACCCAATTAACGCTTTCTTTACGACGACCATCAAATCTATGCAGTTCGTCATGCGTCTCAACCCAATTCACTGGACGACGACCATCTAAGTTTTGGAGGAGGTCATGATCCCATGGACTCCGCGGAATAGGTTGGTGGAAGTGGAATTGCCTCAGCACTCTATCCCCAAATTGGATCTCAACAAAAGCAAAATTGATCAATGGTGTAACAGCACACCAATATTGAAACCCATCTAAAATATCGTGCGGTATCAACGCAAATAATTCTTCATTCATGTATGGTCTCCAATTAAACTGTAAAATTACAAAAACAATAAAATTTATTTAAATCAGATAATATAGTTAATTTAAATAATAATTAAAAAATACAAATTATGCATACCTCCTTTTTGGCCTTAATGTCGATCTTCAACCTGAACTCTTTGTTGTTGTGCACCAACCCTGTGCCTTCAATTTTATGCCTCCATCTGTATATCAATCAAAACAAAAATAGAGACATTTTGTTCAATAATTTTAATCAAAATAAATATTTTTTAATTAATATTTTATATTAAAATAGAGGATTCATATTACCTTCCGCAAGTAGAAAGTCAACCGCAGTCCGACTAATCGGTGTCAAAAACGGAAGTCTATGCCAAGCCCATGATTGTAGCAGCAATAGACATCCACCGATTTCTACTGTATTATTATCATTCACGACTAATGACGCCTTGCACATCTCACGATACAAGAACGCCAATATCGCTGAACCCCAGCTATATTGCCTACAATTCTCAAAATTTGTTAAAAAAAGAAGATACTGAGTGTGAACATAACTACCGGATTTATCAGGCATCAAAATTCCCCCAATCAATTGTAATATATACGCTCGTGTTGCATATATATTTCGTGCTCCGTACTATTTGATTGAAGTTGAAATTCATTCTTCAACCATGACAACCTCACCCGCCACCCTTTACACTCTGGTGGTACGGGCGCTTTCCCAAGAAACAAGTTGCAAAGTTGTTCCACCTTATTAAACTCATGTGACATTACCACCGGCATCCCATTAGTTTGGACCCCGAGTTGCATTGCCACATCCTCCAAAGTTATCGTGCATTCGCCACACGGCAAATGAAACGTGTGCGTTTCTGGTCTCCAACGTTCAATCAACGCACTGATCAAACCTGGGACCAACTTGTAATCTCGCACAAATGTGATATACCAAAATCCAGCCTCTTGCAAATTTTCTTCTATTAGTGGGTGTGGCTTGGGCACTTTATGTAGTCGAAGACGAAGGACTCGCTGCTCGTCCTCCTACAATTAAATATTTCAAAAAATTATCACAATCATAAAATAATATTCAAATATTTATTAATTATAATTCATTAAACAAATATTTTATTCACCATTATTCCCAAATGACTTGAAATATGTTCATTGTCAAGCCTCAACAGTGGAATTTGGTCAGCCATTGGAATGAATCTGTAAAAAAAAATTAAACAACAATATTTAAAAATCATTTAATATAATCTAATATAAACTAACTAACTAATTTACAACACTAAACTTTAATATAATAGCTTATAATATAATAAACTAATAAACTAACAAACTAACTTTTTAAAATATAAGTTAAACGTAAACGCTAAACCCTTAAACAACTAATAAAATATTCTTCTATATAACTAAAACTAACTAATAAACTATTTTTTCATTATAATATACTACTAATAAACTTACTACCTAATTTTTATATATAAATTCAACAAACAAATATAACTTAACTATTTAACTAACACAAACTAATTAAATAATTTTTCATATAACTAACTATTAACAATACAAACTAATTAATTATTTTTTAACTATATAACTATCAAACATATACTAATTAAATATTTTTAATTTATGTATACTATAACTTAAACTAACAATCATATAACCCTAAACTAACAAACTAATTAGCTGCTTTTTGTTTTACCCTAAACCCTAAACTAACAAATTAAACATTTATAATAATAAACTAATTTAAATACAAAAAATTACCTTATCTCCCTTTCGAATTCTTCTTACTTTCCTTTCTCCCTTTCTTTCTTTCTTTCCTTTCTCCCTTTCTTTCTTTCTCGGCTGCAATCACTTCTCCCTTTCTTCTACAATCTCTTCTCCCTTTCTTTCTTTCTTTTATAACCGGCTGCCTCAATTATTTCACCAACCGACTGCCTTAATTATTTCACCAATAATTGTACAATTGCAGCTTCAATTATTGTACCAATTATTTCACATGCATGCAGCAATGGTTCACATGGTTTCATTGGGAGCCGTAGGCATGCAGCATGCACACGTGAAGGAATGGATGATGGGGCTGCATGTGAATGGATGATGGGGCTGCATGTGAATGGACGATGGGAATGGCGCCGGGACTACATGGCGACCTATAAGGTCGCCGGACTACATGGCGACCTATAAGGTCGCCGGGACTACATGGCGACCTACAAGGTCGCCTAGGCTGCATGGCGACCTCTCTCCTATTCCACTGCATGGCCACCATTCCACTGCATGGCCACCTCGCATGGCTCGCACTCGTATGGCTCGTATGCATGGGGACCTCGCATGGGGAGAACGACCTCTCTATTCCACTGCATGGCCACCTCGCATGGCTCGCACTCGTATGGCTCGTATGCATCTATTCCACTGCATGGCCACCTCGCATGGCTCGCACTCGTATGGCTCGTATGCATGGGGACCTCGCATGGGGAGAACGACCTCTCTATTCCACTGCATGGCCACCTCGCATGGCTCGCACTCGTATGGCTCGTATGCATGGGGAGAACCAGAACCATTGGCTCGTACGTTCCCGTATGTCGCCTGGATTGCATGGCGTCCTACAAGATCGCCTGGATTGCATGGCGTCCTATGGCATCACTGTAGAATTCACCCCATCCCAGCAATTAATCTGGGATGTGCACCATATCGTGAAAAAAAAAATCGAGAACATTATCTCGTGAATTCACCCCGCTCCTTATAAACGGATGTAAACCTATTTATATTGCACTCTTTTAGTCTCATTTTCTCGTCCGCCCCTAAACTTTCTGTCCATTCCCTCTTTCTGTAATCTGTTAAGCTCCGATTCTCCAAAGTCCAAACCCTAGCTTCCCTTTCTTTGATTTCACTCCGTCGATCAAATTTTAAATCCCTCCCTTCTCACGACTCTCTGCTTTTTCTCCTAAAAGATTTTCCCAGAAAAAAAAGAATCCAAGAATTGATATATTTGTCAGAAAAGAAAAAAAGAAGAATCCGAGGAGCTTGGTTAGAAGATTTGGCAAAAAAATGACGTCGTCGACAACGAGCGCGGTTTACATCCACGTCATCGAAGACGTCATTAACAAGGTTCGCGATGAGTTTGTCAACAACGGTGGACCAGGCGAAAGTGTCCTCAATGAACTCCAAGCAGTAAAAAGCCTTCTCCATTTCCTTCTTTCATTGAATTTGATTTTAGGGTTGTATCCGTTGTTTTAGAAATTAGTAGGTTTTGGGACAATCTATGTTTATAGATTTGATCTGATTGAATACACTAAGGTTTGTTATTGATCTTACGGGAAGGAGATTGATCTAGTTGACTTGATTGTGTTGGATGTTGGGTTTTAGCTTTGGGAGACGAAGATGATGATAGCGGGAGCTATCGTTGGTCGAGCAGAGAGGTCTTCAGGTCAGAAGCAACCTGCTCCCGGTAGCGCAATTACTCCAGTACACGATCTCAATGTTCCTTATGAGGGGACTGAGGAGTACGAAACTCCTACAGCTGATATGCTTTTCCCTCCGGTAATGGGCTCATTTTAACAGCTTTTATGATGTTTGATTGCGGTGATAATTTTTTGTTTTTTTCTTTTGATAAGGAGTTTTTAATTGTGTAGACTCCTTTGCAAACACCTCTGCCTACACCGTTGCCAGGAACTGCTGACGGCTCTATGTATAACATCCCTACTGGAGGTAGTGATTATCTCACACCTGTGAACGATAGCGGTGGTAATGCTGATGTAAAAGGTGGAAGGCCAAGCCCTTACATGGTATGAATCACTCTTTAACTGCCACTTTCCTTTAGGAAACATTGTGCTTTAGTTGTTGTAAGTTTCTACTTGCTTCTAAAGAAAAAAGTAGCTGTTTGGCTTGTTGTCGATTGATTACCGATATTCTCTTTTTGTTTGTCATTTCACAGCAATCTCCTTCTCCTTGGGCAAATCAAAGGACCCCACTAAGTGTTGATGTTAATGTCGGTTAGTATTAAGTTAAGCGAGTTATCAGTTTGAACGCACATGGTTTGTTAACGCTTAACAATTAAATTCTATTTTCAAGTAGCTTATGTGGAAGGGCGGGATGAAGTGGACAGAGGAACCTCAAATCAACCCCTGACGCAGGTAACTCCTGGTTTTAGTAACGCCAGGCTGCATAATGACGTTTGGTTGTTATAGTAACTTCTGAATGTTATGGGAATATGCCCTTCAAAAATCCTTGTTCCCATGTTGAAATGAGCTGTTGTTACCTTTGGTGATTAATTTTAATATTGGAGAAAATACCAGGATTTCTTTATGATGCCTCCTGGAAAGCGAAAACGTGAGGATTTTGCTACACAGTATAATAATGGTGGTGGTGGTGGCTATATACCCCAACAAGATGGAGCTGGAGACCCCACATCTGAAGTTGCGAAGACAGTGGTTAGTTGTCCTTTGTTATATCTGGTGAAAATATTAATAATGAAATGAGAATTGTAAGATTAATCTGATTCATATGTACTACACTTTGTTCTTCTGTGCGGTGGCTTTATGTTCATTTGGTCTAATACTGATTCTTTGCTAGTTGGACTAATATCAATTTCATAACTAGTGGCTGACGCAGATCAAGATCTTCCTCAAAGTTCTGTTTCTGGATTGTATTGGGGTTATGTCAGTCTTCTGTTTAGATACATGTTTTCCATTATCACTTGGCAGTTAACTGTTTTTCTGAATCAGTAAAGAAAATTATCAAAAATTTAAAGGCTGTGTTCTTTAGTGTCTTTTGACTCCAAACACTGTCAAAGGTTAAATGTCTTGACAGTTGTTATGTGACAGGTCTCTGAAATAGTGTGATAAGATGAGGTGACATTTCTCCACTTGTAACTATATCCTGACCTTTTAGCCTAAAATCTTTATCCATTGTTGTTACATCTGCTTCAGACAGTCTATTACATTTTTATGTCCCCGTCTTTTCCTTTTTGATTATTTTATCTTATTAAAAAATGGAAAAGCCAACTTAGTTCAAGCTCTGAGCTATTAGTCATTCTAATTGAGGTCTTTATGATAAGATGAGTTTGGTTTCCTCTGCTTATAATGATCCCTCCACCTGTTTGCCTAAATTCTTTTATCCATTATTGTTAGATCTGCTTGAGACTTTGTTATACCAGAAGGGTACTTTGATACCAAATCATTGTTAGAATATGTGAGTTTGATTTGTTGTGCACCTTCCGTAATCACATAGTTTTTCAGGAAAATCAGGCTAATTTCTTGGGTAGACATGACTCCGCAACCAAAGCAAAAAGCAAGATCTTAGCACACGTAGCTACTTCATCATCAAAGATTCTGCAACTAGATGGACCAATTCCTGATCCATTTGATGATATGCTTTCTACTCCCAATGTAAGTATCATATGCTTTCTAAGTATTCTTACTTCTCCAATTCTTGCAATTCTGGAACTTAGTGTTACCTTTAGGCATATGGTTTGCAATGGACCTTTTCTCTTCCTTTCTTTTATATATCATTGGAAAGTTCACCTACTTACATCTGTTGCCTTTTTATTTTCTTCTCTCATCTTGAAGATTTACAATTATCAAGGAGTTGTCAGTGATGACTACAACGTAGCAAACACACCTGCTCCAAATGGTAATTTGAATGGATGATTTGCTTGTGCATCTTTTGTCTGTTCCTCCCACCTCCGCCACCTCCTCTCTCATTTAGACACCTTGTTTTTTGGTTGACCTGCTTTCCTTGTTTCCTTGCCAGACCTTCAGGCTGCCACTCCTGCCCCTGTTTCCCAAAATAATACAGTAGATGACGACGAGGATGAACCATTGAATGAAGATGATGATGATGATGATTTGGATGATGTGGACCAGGAGGAGCTTAACACACAGCACCTAGTTTTGGCTCAATTTGACAAGGTGATATATTTCTGCAGCATCCTTTGTTGCTTCCCAGCCTCAGTAATTTGTATTTGTACAAGTTTCGGCAGTCTTATTTTGTTATATATTTTTGTTCTTAGGTGACTCGTACCAAGAGCCGATGGAAATGCACACTGAAGGATGGCATCATGCACATAAACAATAAGGACATCCTCTTTAACAAGGTGCTGCCTGATTAGTGGATGAAATGTGGCATGTTATAACTCTTCGATGCTTTCTGGCTTTTAGTCACCGTTCCTAAATTCAAGTTTTTTTTTGTTGTTGCCAAATTCATCTTTTACAGGCAACGGGGGAATTTGACTTCTGATTTTGTTAGAGAAATGTCTTTCACCATTATATGGCTGCAGTTGGGTTTAAAGAGCAAGGCAAGGGGTGTTTCATAAGTTTTCTTTAATTGATATCTAAGTGAGAGAGCTTTGATGGAAGGTCATGGGATTCCTTATTTTTAATGCCTTCCCTGAGACTTTGATTGAATGATTGTCGTATTGTACATAAACAAGGAAGAGCTTTTCGGCCTAAGAATGCTCTGTTACCTGAGATGCTTCATGAAGTTCTAATTTTTTTTCCTGCAATGGAATACCTAATTTCGTTTTATTATAATTCCTTCCTACTTTGCCTGCTTTTAGCGGAGAAAAAAATATCTGTTGCCTGTAGTCACAAGGCATAAGGATTATATGCATTGATTGTAGGGCTGAGCAACGAAACCGAGAAAACCGAAAAATCGACACGAATCGAGTAAAACGATTCGGTTCGGTTTGGCTTTAAACGGTTTGGTTTTCGTTTCGGTTTAAAGGTTTCATTTTTTTGATTCGGTTCGGTTCGGATTTTTCATATAGAATCCATTTGTTCCATATTGAACCGAATAAGCAATTTTTGTAAAAAAAATTATAGTTTTAAGTGATTTTTTTATTGAAAAACCGATAAACCGAACTGAAAAATTCGAACCGTTAAAAAAACCGAACTGAACCGAAAAAATCGGTTTCGGTTTTTTCAATTTTTTAACTATTCGATTTCGGTTTCGGTTTAAATATTGAAAATCCGTTTATTTCGGTTCGGTTCAATTTTTGGTAAAAAATCGAACCGAATCGAATACACCCCTAATTGATTGGGATTTCTCTAAATCTAGATGACTTTTGACTAGCAATACATTGAAACAATTATCAACACTTTGTTTATTTGTTTGGTCTGGTAGCATTCACTAAGAGCTAAAAGACACTAGCACAGAAATGCAGCATTAATCTGCCTTCGTGTTACTGCGGAGCAACGTAGGAAATGCAAAATCAACTGATATAACTGGGATGGAGCACGAATCTGATGATAATAAATATTTCTTACAAAGCAAAACAAGAGGCAACATAAATGGAGTGCATCATTGACAAAACCGCATCTGTTTTGAAACAAAATGGAAACCTACAGATGTCCGGCCCCAGCAAATGATGTTGGTATTGGTATTGCATCAGCTGTGGTATGGCTATCATGGGTCTGTGGGGGTGAAGTGAACGGTGTCAGCAAGGGAATTGGAGTTGCAGCTTTAGAAGTCTCAAAAGTAGCATTCAGCTCTAGTGATGCAGGCGCGTGCATCAGCTGTGGTATGAATATTTTTTGATTCATCTAGGTGTCTAATGTTACAAACGTTATCACTTTAGGTATCTTGACGTAACGACCGTTATAAAATTCCGTCAAGTGATATGTGTTACAATCTTAAAATTTTGAAATTTTTATTTTTTTTAAAAAGATAAAAATATTATTAAAAACCCACCCGCGTGCATGTCCCCTCCCTCTCCCTCAGTGCTCGTGATTTCAAAATTTTCAGGTTCAAACAGCCAACTAAACAGACGACCACATGGTCAAGGGGCCAGCTGCCACAGACGGATAAACGGTTAATTACCACGATCGGCCAAAGAGATTTAAAAGAGTAGGTATTTTTTATTTTAGGGATAGAAGTTTAGAGATTTAAAAATTTTGGGTTTGAGATGATAGCAAGAATTATGATTGATCAGTGGGTGGTTGGTGATGTAGATAACCGGTTGTTGGAGTAGAATAAGTAGGTGATGCAGATGATAGCAACAGTTAAAATTTTCATCAATTTATATTCAATACAAACTTAATTACCATTCAACGTTATTTACAAGTATGATTTACACAATCAGTAAGTGAATCATACACATATCTTAATAACAATAATGGACTGAATCTCAATCTTTCATCACCACTGAAAATGATAAACAAATAATATATTGAATCTAACCCATATTACTACCTTTAGTTATCGCACTTAATATAAACATAGACCAGAGTTATTGTTTGGTTGATCCAAAGCTTATCCAATATTAATTCATGAATTAAAACTCCTTTTTAGATTAAGCAAACGAGTAGCTAAAAGGTCACTATACATAATATCAACATTCTCCAGAACAAGTGATAAAAAACTATTAAAACAGCTAGACTATTAAAAGTACACAAATTGGTTCCAAACTACATAACATTACTTTGATGAGCCTCTCGACTATTAAAAGTTATAAAATGCTTCTTCGATTATAGGACGTTACTTTATTGAGTCCCTCGACTATTAAAAGCTACAAAATGACCACTCGATTATTCTTATATTCCAAACTCGTTCTTTGTCGTTAAAAAATTATTGTCTTCTTAACTGAGCGTTAATATGCTGACTAGAATATGATAGCAATTTGAGATTTTGTGATCGTATTTTATTATATCCTAGTCAGTATATTAACATGCAACTTAGGTTGTCATTATTTTTTTAAAAAAATGATGAGTTTGAAATATATGAATAGTTTGGTGATCCTTTTGTAACTTTTAATAGTCGATGGACTCAACAAAATAACGTCATATAATTGAAAGATCATTTTGTAATTTCAAATAGCTGGAGAACTCAATGAAACAATGTCTTATAATAGACGGAGACCATTTGTTGTGAAAAAACAAATGCATATACTTTTCAAAGGAGTTGTACATGAAAAAAAATCATTATAGTTAAGTGAATCGATAATAATTACTAATAAACTAATAGAGTTAGTTAATCAATCGTCAGCTGCTAGCATTGACTATTGAATTCAAGAAATTTGTAGCTTTCAGTTGCTTGATTAAGACTTTACATAAGTATTTGTTTATAGGTAATGTTAATAAAGAACATTAGGAAAGCCAAAGTCTTCAAATCATTGAGGAAAGTTAAATGGAATTTGGATTACAAACCAGTTAAAGTGCAAATTCTTTTTTCTTTGATACATTTCAAGTGCTAACATTGATTCAAACGCCTATATGAAGAACAAATTATAACTAAAACAAACATTCCCATTTACAACATTCAGCGGCCTATATGAAGAACTGAATTTATACTGGACAAGGAATTCAGAGAAAGATCCTGACCAATTGAAGGAAAAGGAATTACACCCTGAGATGCTAAGTTATTTTGTGTAGATTCAGTGCTCTGAGATAAGATTGCAAGGATCGAAGATGGTGGTATATCTTGGGCAGTATCAAGTGGTATATCAGGCAAACTAGCATTGCCTTCGAGATATTGCACCACTTGTTTAATGGTGGGTCTCAAATCTGATTTGGTGTTGGAACAGAGCAGCCCTAGTTTCATAACTTTCTCCATCTCCTCCATCACGTATTGGCCTCGTAATCTTGGATCGCATGCTTCAACAATGGCATCTCTTTTGAAGCATCTATTGACTACATCCACTAGAAAAATCTCTTGTGGTGGTTTTTTAGGATCAAATGGCTTTCTCCCGCAAGCAACCTCTAGCAGAAATGCCCCGAATGAAAACATATCCGAAGCTTTAGTTGGCTTTTCGATTCGGGTGAGTTCTGGATCCATATATCCTAAAGTTCCTACAAGGCGAGTTGTTTGCGGATTGCCATTGCGATCGTACAATCTGGCAAGACCGAAATCTCCGAGCCGTCCATTTAGACAGGAATCTAAAAGAACATTGCTGGCTTTGATGTCTCGATGGAGAACAACTTGTTCCCCTTCTTCGTGGAGGTAAAGAAGAGCAGATGCCACCCCTTTGATGATCTGAAACCTTTGGAACCAGGTAAGGGTCGGTTTGTCATCGTTGAAAAGGAACTTGTCGAGGCTACCATTTTCCATACGTTCATAGACCAAAAGGAGCTCTTTCTTGCGCCTGCAATACCCCAGAAGCCGCACCAAATTCTTATGCCTTAGCCTTCCCATGCTAACAATCTCTGACACAAACTCCTTCATCCCTTGATCTGTTTCATGGGATACTTTCTTCACTGCAATTTGTTCAGTGGAATTTGCAAGTGTACCTTTATAAACTTTCCCGAAACCTCCGCATCCGAGGAGTTGCTTGTCTTTGAAACCTTTGGTTGCTATATACAGCTTCTTGTAAGAGAATCTATGAGGTCCATACTGCTTTTCCCAGTCTTCAAGCACTTCCGCATATTTCTTCCTCCTGTAAACATATGCTGCTCCGATGATTATAACCAGCAACACAACAGCTGCAATGATTGAAATCAAACGAACCGTATTTCTTCGTCCATTGTTTTCGGGAAGCTTTGGAAGCTCGGAAAAATCAAGGCTTTGTGCTTCTCCACTTCTGTTGAAGCTCCATCCAAGAATATAATGGCTACAGCTATCAAGTGAACCTGTTGCAGCAGAGAAACCAACATACATGGTGCCCATTAGGATATTAGAGACGTTGATTGATGTTGACAAGAGAGGCTGGTTCGGTTTCGGGATGTTCTCTGGTGCCAAAGTTACATTGAGTAGTTCTTCTTCGCCATAGAAGTCTATCCACACCTGAATTGGATGTCTACTTTTGAGGTCCAAGCTTATATTCTTCCTTTCTTCATTGGAATAATAAGCTGATGCAATGGATTGGTACGATTTCACGCCATTCAGATCGATTCCGACATGATTTCCATCTATAGTATCTGTGCCAAGACTGAAGATGGTGTCAAACTCAACAGCCAAGAAATGGTTGGAGGAATTCCCATCGGTCGAATCATTAACCAGTCCTAGATATTGGATTGGAGCAGCATGACTAAAATCCATTGATTCTGCTATGACAAAGGCAAGGCCATGGCCGCTAGCTTCTGCTGTTTCAGGAACGATGGCGATAACGAACCTGGTGGAGAATGAAAGCGATCGAGCTGAACTCGAAGAAGCGTTGAAGTTTATAGGAGAAGGGTAGAAAGCATGGCCGGTTAACATTCTGGAAGTGTTGGTGAGCTGCAATAGACCATTGGAGTGGATTTTGGCACTCTCACCAAGTACCAGATTAGCATGACGGAAGCCATTATTATAAATGAATTGGTCAGGATCTTGAGCTTTTGCCATGGAAACCACGGCCAGGAAAGAAAGCAGCCATAAAAGAAACGATGTAGAAGCTGCAGCCATCGTTAAATGAATGAAAAGTTTCCTCCGTGCTAAGAGAACCTGCACGACGTATTTACCTTTTTATTTTTTTTCATGGGGCAACAACAATGCAGTAATTTATCAAATGAAATTTGTTAAGAAGAATAAATAAGTTTCAGATATGTTATGAATCATTTTATTATTTAAAATTTATTTTTTTATATTTCATTTTTACGAAATTAAGTGTTTATAATATTGTTTTCATTTAAAAATATTGATCACTCATCTAATTTATTTTTAATTTCATTAATAATTATTGACTTAAGAAAGTTTTTAATTTGACTCTAATCTTTAAAAATAAATACAAAATATCATTAATTAAATAATATAATTTTTAATTATAGATTGTTCATAATATTTTAAGAGCCAAATTGATAAAAAAATTATAAATATAAAGGATTGAAAAATATAATTCTTTTATAATTACCAGGCCAATATTTAGCAATAAAATTGAGCATAAATTAAAACAATGACCAAAAGTTTTAAATACAAAATGAAACACAGATTTAATTATAAAAAAATATAATATAAAAATTAAATCTTTATTTTTAAAAGAATATCTCAGAGGATTAGTCCCAGGCGAAGTCTGAGATACCTCGGGATACCCAAAAAGAAAGACGTTTGACATATTGAAATTATCTACTTCAACAGTGATTCAATAAACACAATAATACATAAATACCCAAAAGCCAACGTCAAAATCAAACATATCATACCTTCACCGGTTTCATACAATTTATGGTCTATAAAATTAATATTCTCCTACTTATTTGATCTTTAAATCACCTTATAAAAGTCATTTATGAAGAAAGTCAACTCTTTAATGGTCAGTCAGCTTGATTACTTGACCTAAAAGTTTCATATTTAATAAACCTCAATTCTTTTCAGACAATACTGTACACTTAATATATGAAGCACTATCCGAATATAAGTTAGAAATAACTATAAAAAGCAATCAACTTCAAATAATAAGATCTTTAATCTTCACGCTAGTTTATTAGAAACAAACATTAATAATCTATTGAACAAATGATGTATTCTCAATGTTTAGAAAGCTGTAAAGGAAGAATTCCAACAATTAGCAAGTAGCATTTCCATGCAATTTGTGAGTGACTTTCATATTTTGGAGATTGCGGCTGTTAGCATGGACTTGGCCTGCTTTCCACCAACCGCGTAGTTTGGATTTTAACTTGATTCCCAATACTTTTGGGTTTTGAAAAAGACTAACGACCAATGTTTTTAAAACTGAACCGGACATTGAACCGGTGAAGGTATTGGTTCACTGGTTCAATCGCGGTTGAACCGGATTTTATATAAAATATATATTTTTTAAAATATATAATATTCAAAGCAATATTAATATATATGTAACATTTTTTTTAAGTTTACAAAATTAAAAGGTATAAAAATATCACAAGTCATAATATATATAAATTAAAAATCATAAAATCAAGTGAAACAAAATGATTCAAATCAACTACAACATAATATTTAAGATAAAACATATTAAATAATAAATATAATTATATAACTATAATTAAAAAAATAAAATTGGGGCTTAAAAAATCATAACAAATGATGTCATTTGGTTTAATTTTTAAAAAAAAAATCCCAAATGGCTAAGAAACATAGAAGAGCATCCCAAACGTTTAAAGAGTAAAAATATGAGAACAAAACAATTTCACATGGCTAAAAAACATAGAAGAGCATCCCAACTTACTTCTATAAATAATAGAGGTAATTTGACATTCAAAATCATGGAGCCTTTTGGTGAGCACAGAGCGAACTATTCTTTCACTTCAATTGAACTCAAATTTTAGGCTTCAATCGAACTTCTAAATTTTTTTTTGAATTCGAGCTTTTTCGAGTTCGAGCCTTTTCGAGTTCAAGTTTTAATATTATATTTCGAGTTCGAGTTGAACTTGATAATTTTAGCTCGTGAGTTTTCTAGTCGAGTTGAGCTTACTTTTAAAGTTTTCGAGTTCGAGCCGAGCTCATCAATACTCGAATTTGAGTTGGCTCGTCGAACAAACGACGTCGTTTGGTTTAATTTTTTTAAAAGAAAAAAAGTGAACCGGCGGTTCAAATCGATTTTGCCGCTTTTCAGCCAATTCACCCCGTTTTATCGATTTTCAGCCGGTTCTACCGATTTTCGGCCATTTCATTGCCAGCCCAGTTTTGTGAGATAACCGGACAGGACAGGCCACCGGTTCACGGTTCAACCGATTGAATCGGCCGGTCCGGTCCAGTTTTGATAACCATGCTAACAACCAATAATTAGGTATCATCACATTAATGGAATTTTATCTATGATGAGTGATCGTTTGCATATATTTTGTTCACTATTATTCTCTGTTGTTGATTTAATACTATTGATTTGGTTCTATTTTGACTTGTTTTTGTGCATGAACTTATTTCTCAGAATTAGCAATAATACGGAGAATTTTTTAATTTTCATTTTTAGGAATCGTGGGTGGAGTCATGGGCACGACCTGAGGTACGATAGTTTCATTTGGTTAATTGTTGTTTGTTGGATTATCTTGTCAGTTTTTTTAATTATCTTGTCTATAACTTCTTCAATCCATGCATGCACTTGGATTTTGACATAAACTTTTGAGTGAATCTTTGGTAAGTGATAGAAATAGGAATTAAAGTACACTTGAGGACAAACATTGAATAAGTGAAGGGAAATTCGATGAGTTATTGAATTTAAGTTTATTTTGTTGACAATTATTCCTCATTTTTTATTTGATATTACTGATTTGGTTCTATTTTGACTTGTTTTTGTGCATGAACTTATTTCACAGAACCAACAGTAATAGGGCGAATTCTGTAATTTTTATTTTTAAAAATTGTGGCTAGAGTCATGGGCACGACTTAGGACACGACAGTTTCCAAAGGGGTAGAATTTGGCAATCCAGTCAACAGCAGCAACTTCTAAAAGCAGTCCAGTCAGCATATTCTGGAAGGTGGACTGTTGAAATTATCCAATGAAGTTCAAGTTTGAATTTTGAGAAATCTTTTGGATTATTATTAGGATATTTTATTTTGAATATTTCTTTTTTTTCCCTAGAATATTTTATCTCTTAGAAACTCTCCAAGCTATAAGTACTCCCATCTTTTATTATTAAGGTGAAGCTTGAGAATGTACTTTTGATTTCTTAAATTCTCTTGGGGTTATTTTACTAAAGATCTTTTCTATCTTCCATCTTTTATTTTTATTTTTATTTTCTTTTTCAAAATGTTAAGTATGATCCTAATCATGCTTAGCTAAACTTTCATTTAGCCAAGGGCTTTTGCGATGACTCAATTCCTATTGGGAGAATTGAAAACCACTTATTATCTTCGGATAACATTCTTGATTTTCTAAAAAATTGAATTGATAATCGATCATTCCTTTAATAATCTCGACACATTCACTTCAAAAAGTTGATGTTAGTTTGAAGAGTGTTTTGATTTACAATTTGAAGTCATATGATCGATCGTAATTCGGTTTCTTGTGAATAAGCTTAACGGCAATTAAAGATCGGGTTTGATTCTTAGTGAGACACTATAACCCAAGTCGGGCTTTTCCAGCGTTTAATGATGTATTGATGCTAACGACGATAGCCATGGTTAGCATAGCAAGAACTGAATTCCATAGATAGGCTTGGGAATATCGGTTTACTCGATTGAAAAGTTAGTCGCAAAGGTTAGTCTTTGTAGACTATAACTGACGTGTATCGGAAGTAAAATTGTTTCGATGATCAATGGGAATTGAGGCTAAGTGAAGTTTGAGGCTATTTTCATCCCATCATATTCTTTTCTAAATTTACTTTATTTTATCATTTATTTTTTATTTTTACTCTTTTATTTTTAAAATTCCATTTTTTTATTATTTTTTTGTTAAATCAAGATAGGAACAAATCAGCATTATTAACTTCCTTAGTCCCTGCGGATTGACACAACTATTAACTTACTATATTTCTATTTATTTATTTGAGAAATAAAAATTATTTTATTTGATAATTTCGACGCTTGTCAATTTAACATTTATATGTATGATTTTATTGGATTTAAAGGCAAGTAAATAGGAGTTTGAATGAACACATATAAACGATTATAAACATTCAACGAACTATTCATAAATCGTTTATATAACATTCATTTATTAAGTTAAATAAACGATTATGAATAAATTTTTTTATATTCATTTAAGAAACGAACGAACAAAAATATACGTGTGTTCAGTTTGTTTTTGTTCATGAATAAACTCATTTATCGACTTGTTTATAAGCTGTTTCTGATTCAGTCACGAACTTGGTGAGCTCAAAGAAGTGTTGAAGTTTATAGGAGAGAAAGCATGAGCGGTTAGCAGTCTTGAAGTTGGTGAGCTGCAATAAACCATTGGACTGAATTTTGGGACTCCCATCAAGTTCCAGATTGGCATGACGGAAGCCATTCCAATAAACGAATTGGTTAGGATGTTGAGCCTTTGCCAATTGCCACGGAAACCACAGCCATAAACGTAACGATGTAAAAGCAGCAGTCATTGTGAAAGGAATGAAAAATTCCCTCTGCAGTGCTAAGCATGACATCTTTATTTATTCCCATAGGTCAACAAATTGCAGCAATATATCCATGGAATTTGTCAAGAAGAATATGTGATCAGTCAATCATTTTAAGTTTGAATGATTCAATAGTATCGAGATTACTTTATATCCAATCTCACTTAATTACTTGAGCTATTTGATTTTTAAATTACTTTATAAAATTATTTTATGGAGGAAGTCTACCTGTATGTTAAGCTTAATCGCTTGTCCACAAATTAAACATTTGCTATCATATTTCTCAAATGCATGAAGCATGCAATTATTTTTATCTTTATTTCCAGTGCTTCTTTACGTCAGTCGATTTCAATTAATTTAATTAAGTTTTATATTGATTTAACTTGGAATAAGCACCCTAGTGAAGCAGCCAAACACAATCCTGACTTCATTCTTACATTATTACACAGAGCCATGGCCCCTTTTTATTCCAAACAAAATCAGTATTTACTCAAA